GCAGCCAGTGATCGAGCACTAATAGAGGCTTTCTGCTGCCACAGAGACCCTGGGTCTATGGCTAAATCACGCCAGTGGAATTAGAGGAGAGGAGTCCAACAATAACAACAAATATATTTTCATTTAGACTGCTGGCATATTCCTCTGCAGAGCAGGGGGTGTAGGAGTAAAGGTGAGGAAAGGAGAGGAGAGGTAAAGCAGAGGAGAGAGGGAGAAACAAAATGAATGAAGTGAGGCAGGAATGAGATGAGAGAAACATGCGAAAGGAGTTGAGATTATATTTGCGGTCTTGGCTCGGGCTCTGGAAAATGTTTCCTAGGTTTATCAAAGCCCTGACTAAAATATTAGTACAAAATACATGTTTACATTCTTGTTTTTATCTCCACGAGGCAAATGCATTAACATGAAACAGTCTACTTGAGTGACTCACATTTGTGACTTTTCCTGAGTATTTCTCTCTCCTGCTGACAGGCTTCAAGTTTTTTTTCCTCTTTCTTTTTATTTCTGTCTTTCCCCCCCTCCCCTAACTCTCCTCGCTCTTTCCGAATTGATAAACAGAGGCCTCATCTCAGTGCAGGCCAAGGCAAATGTTTGAGCCACCTGTTGCAGGAAACTTGAAGCCCTCAGGAGATGTGAAGATGGAGCCGAGGCTGGGCTCCAGGTACAGCTCGCCTCTGAACCAGAACAGAAAGGGTGGCGTGTGTGTGTGTGTGTGTGTGTGTGTGTGGTGTGTGTGTGTGTGTGTGTGTGTGTGTGTGTGTGTGTGTGTGTGTGTGTGTGTGTGTGTGTGTGTGTGTGTGGTGTGTGGTGTGTGTGTGGTGTGTGTGTGTGTGTGTTTGTGTGGTGTGTGTGTGTGTGTGTGTGTGTGTGTGTGTGTGTGTGTGTGTGTGTGTGTGTGTGTGTGTGTGTGTGTGTGTGTGTGTGTGTGTGTGTCAACATTAAGGTGGGGGGGAATTACTTGATGTGGCAGTGTTGTATTTATCTAAATATAATTGTTCATATTTAAACTGTAAGTAGCTTGATAATTGTGTTAAGCTGTCCTATGCAATAGAGCATATCAGTATACATTTTGGGCCATTAGCTGTAGAACTTATAACCAAGCTGTCATAACCTTTATATATACGGTCTATGGTCATAATACAGAACAATGACATGTATTGCGTTCGGACTATTTTTTTTTCTTTTAATGGCGATTGGTTGGCAGGACTAATTCTTAAATCCCAAGATATACATTTTATTGATACAAAACAGAAAAAAGCATCTCAATATTTGCCACTGAAAACAAAATGTTCTGTTATTTTGCATATAAAATATTTCAATCATTAAGCATGTATCAAAAAAAGTCAGTTAGTTGTATAGTTATAGTTATTGATCAGTCAGCTAGTTGCTGCGGCTCTATTATTCACAGGTCCAGCATCATCATCCGTTGGAGTCCATATATTAGCTTACTAATAAAGGTCAGTCCTTTTAAACACTGTGTTGCTCTCCTCCAACATCTGAGACATCAACAGAATCAGGCTCTTTAGCACCAAGATGTTTTACTTTCTTCAACAGCTAGTCGCTAACTTCTGCTGGACCTGGAGTGCAAGCATACAGTCGGGTACACTGTCATTTTGAAATGTGTCTTTAGGGTGACTTACAAAATCTGTCCAGGGACTACAGATGAAAAATAGCCTCTTGGCTAACTCTGGCACATTTACAGACATTTAGATTTATGTGCACTGTCCCTGTTAAAATAAATGAATAAAACAAAAAACATAACAGACCATTTCTTTGCTTTAAAATGTCTGCTTGCTTGTTTTTTAAACAGGGTTGGAATAAGCTGTGAGATTTGGGTAACCAAATCTGAGATATGTGAGGCTTAAGAGCAGTTTGGAGCTCCAGACGTTTGTGTTAATACTCTGTAGAGTGAAAGTACAAGCACCCCACTTTACTAACATGTAGTGAGTAAATGATCAAATCAAAACATATTGATTGATTCAATGTCCATGTAAGGGCTAAATGTGCTATTGATAAAAGATGATGACAAATAGTCGAGCTATGAAGGACTTAATGGTTGGGGGGGAAATAAATGAAGTCAAAGTAGCTGAACATGCGTGGAGGAGGAGGACTCCTGGTTCACCTCCTGGGTTCCAGGAACTCCCTTGGTCTGCTTCCAATGATTACCCCCAAGCCCCTTTGCCCCCCCGACCCTCTTTACCTCTGCAAATACCCCTTCAACCCCCCCCTCCCCCCCAACCCTCCAACCCCACATTTTCTGGCAACTCTTTTAATCGCCCCCATCACCCCTTCTTCCTCTTAACCACTCACCCCCTCTTTTCACCCTTTGGCATCCCGTCCAAACTGCTGCCCTCTCAGCAAACATCTCCCCTCCTCCTTTTCTTTCTCGCGCTCTCCCCCCCTCGACTGCCATAAATGCCCCCAGGACTGTGGTTCTTTCAGTTATTCACCTCTCCTCCAAACCCACACGTCCTTCTCCAATTCAGAGCTGGCAAACTCTCTCTCTCTCTCTCTCTCTCTCTCTCTCTTCCTCTCTCTCTCTCTCTCTCTCTCCTCTCTCTCTCTACTCTCTCCTCTCTCTCTCTCTCTCTCTCTCTCTCTCTCTCTCTCTCTCTCCTCTCTCTCTCCGTCTCTCTCTCACTCTCTCCGTCTCTCTCTCTCCCCGGGAAGTAAAATATTCACAGCTGCTGCTGCGGTCAGGTCGCACGGCCACAAGACTCTCTGAGCAAACAGAGGAGCTGTGAACGTGTGAAGCCGATGGTGTACGTTTCATTTGAGGTCCGACACAGGTCCGATAGATCCTGATGTAGTCAAAACAGAAACCGCATACTGAGCCTCGCCACATGCCTCAACAAACCAAACACTAACCAAACATACCCCAGCACAACACGAAAAAATGACATTGGCAAACAGTTTTGAGAAACATGTTAGGCGCACTGTAGAAATGGGAGAAATGATGTGTGGCTTGGTGCCGCTGCGCAGAATAACTCAGATGTCATTGGGGTTGATAATCAGTGTGAAACATCTGTCTTGGATAAATGCCCTGCTTTTAAAGTCTGGCCTTGTTATGCATTTTGGGCGAAGGCAAGAGCACATTAAGTCATGTTAAAGTTGCAATAAAAATACATCAAGCCATTCCAAGAGGTACACACATGATATATATGCAGACTTGATTCCAAGTTCTCTGAATAAACAAGTGCACGAATTGGTCTCAAATATCGGCTCCAGAGTCCCATGTTCTACTAAGGACTTATACGGGAAGTTTTACATATGTACATCGCTAAACTTATACCATCAAATAATAAAGAAATCTTGTCTTAGGAATGCTCGCCCTTGAACTTTATGAGTTAGGGGAAAAGGGTGGGGGGTGGGGGTCAGTGTCTTGAACACATTTCAAAGTAATTGTACTTGATATGTCGTTTACAGAACACCCAAGTAATCATATAAACAAAGGACTAGATGCCCTGGGAGGATGAAAGGGCATTTGAATCTCCCTCTGATGCATCATACTTACTCACGTTTGACGTGAGCGTTAGGCATCGAGGATTCTTGAGCGCAAAAAGAGGATCTAGGACGTTTTAGTAATAAACACAGCGGGACGGAGCGACTCCGGTGGATTCTATCATTCTCAGAAATTACCCTACACACACACCCCACACACACACACACACACACACACACACACACACACACACACACACACACACACACACACACACACACACACACACACACACACACACACACAGACAGAGAAACAGATGGCAGAGAGTTGAAAGTGATGGATGCAATGAACGAATTACAACTGCTGCAGCCCTGGGCAGAGGAAGTCTGTGTGTGTTTGTGCGATAACCTTGCTCTAGGTCTGATCCTGCTAATTGCTGGAATCTATCTGAACTCTACCAAGACATGACAAAAGTTTGAAAAACAATGAAAAAAATGGGAATGTGAACGCAGCGCAGAGGGAAAATGGCAGGGCCCAGACGGCAACAACACGAGAGGCAGTTTTAAAGAGAGGGAAAGCGAGAGGAGAATAAAGAAAACATGACATCATAGTTAATTCGAATCAGGTGATAAACAAGGGAGGAATATTTACGTTATACCATATGCCCTGCTCCATGTGTCTCTCTGTCTCAGGGGGGGCACAGCAACAGCTTTCAGACAAGTAAGGTCAAGGAGGAGGCTTTCCCCAGCTGCTGGACCACACTGATGCACACACCTCTTCACCCAGCCTTCACAATGTGTGTCTGTGCACGTGTGTGTGCATGCTTGTGGGCCATTTCAAAAGCCTGTTTTGTCTTTGTTGTTATCACATAAAAGACAGTGTTTATCCTCCAGGAAGCCATGCTTGCCATGTGTACTTGTAAGGGGAGAGAATCTTGCAGCGAGAAATGAAATCCCCTGAAATCATCAACCATGTTTTCTGCTGGGCTTCTTTCAAAAGTCTAATCTCTAACAGATTCCTGATTCATGTCTTGGTTTTAAAATGGCTCAGCCGACTCAGTTTGTTATAGGCTTTTAACTTATGACTGTTATTGTGCTTTTAAATTGCCAACAACTTCTGAAAGGTAATTCTTGACCTTTTGAAATAGTAGTTTGACAAAATAATCATGGCTGACCTGAGTAAAAGTCCATTTACCTATTGAGACCATTATATGTGATTAAGAGCTAAAGAAAGTTTGGACCATGAGTGACATGTGTCACCATGCTTTTTCAAATTCACTTTTAAACTCATCTCATTGTCTCATCAGATGGATTTGGAGTTGTTTGGATAGAAATGTTGCTTTATATATCGTTTTCTTTTTTAATTCCCAAAAAATGGCATTGTAATATACAAATAATGCAGTGGATCTAATACAGGGTCATACAGTATGACTGAGTCCACTGCTTGAAGGCTTAGTTGATATGTATTTCTATCTCTTCGCTGTGTATGTACAGTGTGAACAACCAATCATTGAACAGTGATAATATCTAAAATGATTCAAAGTCAGTCATACAACTTAAAGACAAATATATTTTTATATTTATTCAGGTTTAAATGATTAGTAATTCAAAAAGAGAAGCATAAATGGTAAAAAAGACAATAATTTGTCATTATTGTGTTTTTGATCTTTTTTTGTTAAATATTACACTAAATAAATAAATGTAAAGAAAAGAACATGATAGTGTTAGACTTGCTGTTGTGTTGGTGCTTTTCCCCTCCTATTCTTTCTCATCCTCATCTCATCATTTCTTCCTTTCTTATCCTTTCCTTTGCCGTCAGCTTTCCTTTAATACTTCTTTACTTTTCCTCTCTTACATATTTAGTCATTTTACTTCTTCCCAGTCAAGCATTTCACATAGACACAAATCGAGAAATGTGAGTTACTAATCCAATTTTGGCACAGAAGTCATTTCTTTCATATTTTCTACTGTGCCAATGTACTTGATAACTTAAAACAGAAAATAATATATACATTGTATAGCAATATATCTTATTTCTTTCTTTAAAAATAGAAATGTCTTTTTCCAACAGAGATAAAATGTCCATATGTTTCCGCTCGTTCCCTCCTCAGTGCATCATTCAGATCTGATTCAGATCTGTCCAATGTAGCCATCGATGTAACTCCAGAAAAGTCTGATCACTGCAGTGTGCAGAGCTCTCTCATGGCTGATATGTCCAATCATCGTGGTTGTACCACAATGGGCAGGAAGTGAGTGGCAGTGTTTTTCCTCCGTGTTTTCTTCCCTCTCATTGGCTTGCCGTTGGCGTTCAGTCCCACAAACATGTGCTTCTTCTTGTTGCGCCACACTGCCGAAGCGTAGGTGTTGTACTTGTTCTCCTCGATGCGTTCAATTAGACGGCAGTCTGGACCATAGTCCCTCTGCAAGGGAAAGACAAGGAGTGGAAATGTCAGATTATTCTTATTCCAGTTTCTCTATTAACAAAAGAAAGCAGCTTCAGTTTGTCTTCGAAACTTAACTGAATATCTCTTTGAGATTTAGGAACTAGTGATGTTGAAATATAAATTATTAAAATAACAGGTGGTGTAAAAATGAGTCAATTTCAGAATTAGGATTAATCTGCGTGAGATCTTAACACTTCTCAGTAATATTAAAGTGTCTGCCCCAAACCAGAAGGCTTCTTCTGTACAGCTGTAGTTGTTTACCTGCTGTCTTTTTTTAATTATCTCCCAAAATGGATTGAGTCTGGTCTTCTCTTACTCATAACCTCCATAACCAAAGAATGTTCTAATTTTCTCTTCTTAACCGTAATGTTTTCTGGTTACACATGTTACTTTTACAACTTGCTTTAGATGTTAGGTGTCATTCTGAGCATAGCAATCAACATGATGTTTTATTTCTTCTGACAACATGGATCAACAAATGGTCAGTCACTGCTTCAGAATCTGCTACACTATCCCCAGCGTAATCATGGCCAATTCTAACAAAAATGGACATGAGACTTATGGTTGTAGACATGTTTGTGTGTCAGAGGACTGAGGGCAGAGAGGTTAGCATGAGATGTGACATCTTAAAGGTTAGGGCTGTGCACCAGAAAAGGGCATCGTTTTTGTGGAATGACTTTTCCCGCAATGACCACCCACCGGTAAATAAAGAGAAAATGATCTGAGAGAGTAACGTTTGTCAGTTTACTGGAAGCTGCCCCTGCGCTTAAGGCTAATGCCGCTTAGAAAGCAAGTTAACTGGATGCAGTTATTCGCAAGCAAAGAGGTATTCGCACACAAGTGCACACACACACACACACAATTAAGCTTGGTCTCCCTCTCTCTCTCTCTCTCTCTCTCTCTCTCTCTCTCTCTCTCTGTGTCTCTCTCTCGCTGTATCTGGCCACAGCTGTTTAAATTGGTTCCAGAAGTCAAACTGAATGTTCCCAAAGCAAAATTAAAATATCTTACAGACACTGTGCAGCTTTTTAACGTGAGCTGGTGCTAGGTACGACCAAACAATGTGTGTGTGTCTGTGTGCTGATCGTCTTTCCACTAAAATGGTGGATTAAAACAGATAAGCTGTGTAGTTATGAATTCATAACAAATATCGTCAGTACCTTTTTACCAATTTAATAGAGCAATAACTGTTGAGCACGATTCATTTTGCACAGACCACAGTGAATTCATCTGTCCGTCATCATTGTTTTTTTTAAGAATTATTACAAATTGAATCATGGTTATACTTAAAGGCAATCATAATCATGTATATATCCCTGCTGCGCATTAACCTGGGGATGAAATGAAACAATGATTTCATTTGATTACGACCGGATAAAGAAGGCACTGTGTAAACCCATCAAGTGTAATCGAACGCCGGCCCTTCACTGCCGCTCTACTATGGCTTATGTTGCAGCGAGCAGAAGACGTCATGGGAATTCAGTTTCAGGCCATGCAACAGAATGCCTCTCTGTCTCTTTCTACCGTGTGTCATTACATCTGTGGTGTGGCTCCCATAGAGACACACTGAAAGTTGGCTCTTTCAAAGCAAGCAAAGGAGAGAAAAAAGCAGGGAGAGAATGAGATGAAGAAAAGGAGGGAGAGGGAGAAAACAGATGAAACAAGGGCTGCTCTCCCCAGAGGGGCTGAAGCAGAAAAGAGAAACTGAAGGATTGTGTTTCCTATTTCTGAATGGAGTGGAGAGCTAAGCCATTGGGTAGCAGAGAGGAGAGCTCTCATTGACTGACGGTGGTTCCTATTTCTGGAAGTGAGAGAGCCCTGCAGCCTTGTTTTAGTAATCATTTAAGAAAATCAAAGCTGCAGGGTTTCCGATTCAGGGTGAAAAATGTCTCTTTTGCAAGAACTTTGATTAGGTTGTTGTAGAGGTACTGAAGCTACTCACCGCTCCGTATAGCTCTCCCTTCTTGCTGATTGCCAGGTAGTAGTTGCTGCTGAGGCCCCTGATGGCCACGACTCCCACATCCACTGACTTGATCTCCAGCATACCTGGTGTAGGGGGGACAGAGAACAAACATGTCAGAACTTTATTCATGTCCATTGTGGTTTCCTTTCTGTTCAGCTTACATTTAGCTGAAACCCAACGCATGAATAGTGCACAAACTAGTGATTACTTCATTATTAATGCCTACAACATTTTTCCAGGCATCTTGTTATGCTTGTTATGTTTGATAATCAGTACACAACGCAAAGACAAGTGATACATACTAGACTATTTAAAAAAAAAAAATAATAAGCTGAATCCAAGTATTGTTCCATTCGTTTAATAATCGATCAATTTGCTTAACCCCTCTGCATTAATGCTGAATTGTATGGCCTTTACGAAGAAATATGGACATTGTTTGGGAGATGAAGGAAACTGAAACACCACCTAGTTAGTATATTACTATTAGAATCAATTACAAATGTGATCTTGTAATGTAAGTCTTCATGCATCACTCTTAATTAGGATCTCAAATGTTGCAAAAGAGCTTAGAAATACTGCAGGAGAAACCTGGATTATCTCAGTTTCCTTTGCACAAGTGAACCCCAGTCTTGTCTCCGTCTCCATTTTTTTTTTACTATGTGACAGTCAGACCTCAGACCGGCCTCTTGCCCCCCGTTTATTTGCTGGTTAGCTTGTGGGCTGCGTGCCCTGGGACCGAGGTGTAAGCCAGGAAAAAACATTTCTCCGTCCTATGTTTGTTTTTCTGACCAGGGGAGCTCAGGCGGGCGGGCACACGGACAGGACGGAGCGAGAGGGATTCTGGCTGCCAGGTTGGCAAGAGGTCAAGGCGTCCGTATCAGTTTTCAAGCCTGAACCAATTACTGGTTTAAGCTGTGGTTGCCGGCCCTTTCTTCTCTCATCCTAAAGCCAGTTACACCAAGCCGTAAAACTATCAGGGGTTTGAGAGGATTAGCTAAAGGGGCCAGTAGGAAGTGGAGCCTTGTTGCAGGAATAGTTGGACGGATGAAGTGAGAAACGGGGAAAGTCCATGCACAGTATCTCTGCTGGTTTATTACTCACTGCTGATATTTCAGTGACAGGATGAGACAGCTTCCTGTTCAAGTCATGTTTTATAGACAACCTTATGACATGATATGCTGCAAAAACAATTGAATCAATTCTATAAAGAGGTATTGTGCTGGATACACAGAAGCAATAAGGTCACTATGAAATAATGAAGACGGACATTCAATTAGGAACTTTATAGATTATGCCCGTTATCCACATTTCTCTTTAAACTTAATAGTAGCCCGTCTTCTTTCCAAACGCTCCTTATGTGCCCTTATTCCCCCTCGCTCGTCCTCATAACCCTCTATATTTTAAGATATCTTTTATTTTGCGCTCACTAATTTTACATTGCTACTAATCTGTCATTGTAGTCACCTATTGTTTCTCCATTTCTCATTGTAATAGTAAAGAGACTGTTTAGCATTTTGAAATGTTTCAAAATGGCATTAAAATGAACTTGATGTCTTGCTTTTAAAGACAAATCTTCTCTTGTACGCGTGTTGCTGTTTTTGATCTGTTATGTTTATTTTTGTAATCCTAGTCATTAATCCATCGCCACGGCTCCTTTATTTGGTCAGTGAAGGCTTGTTAAACCTTTAAACTTCAAGTAGATTTTCCAGGCTCGCAGTGCATCATGTTGGCTCCTTATGTTAAGTCCATTACTCACACGGACGTGTACCACTACACAACATTTATCAGGTTCAGAATGTTCCATCTCACTACACACACAGCTGACGGTTCTGTGCTGTGATCCGTCAAAGTATGATCTGTCCATGCTGCGCTAAATGCCGGTCCACCTGTTCAAACCCTTTCCCCTCTCCTGTTTGATGTGGTTTGTCCAAAACCAAAGAACAGGGCTCTTTTATGGCCCCTTTGCCAGTTACCAGGAGCAGCCCGTCTGCCTGCGAGTTAAAAGGCCAGGCTGCAACAAAAGGCTTAGATTGCAACAACAGAGTTTATGGCGGGGAGAGGGAGCAAAATAGGACCGGAGCTTGTAACACACACCCATTCATCAGGTTTTTGTGATTAACACACACACACACACAGTCAGGCATACACACATATAGGTGAAGGCTTAAAGGTCTGGTGCATGACCCACTGTGCAATTCTCTTAAAACTTGCATTCAACACTTTGCCTTATTGCCGCCTTGAGTTTTTTTTTAGGGTATTTTCTCTTTTTTTCTAAGAGCGTAAAACTGTTACTCTCACTTCATGTGCCGACTGGATCTCAGCCCATCCTAATTATGGATTTATGTTTTTAAAGTTTTATAAACCAAAGCACTAACAGCACTTAATTTAAAAAGCATGAACATTTTCCGCTATCAACATTTTGTAAGAACTTTACCAAGGGCAAACACCTGTGTGTAACAGGGCAAAGCTGCGACTTTTCGAAACACAGGCCAAACACATTTCTGCCAGTCAAACCTAAACCCTCCCGCAGCCACAAGAGAAAACACAACTTGGCTTTCTAACAGTAAGAAACTGTTCATCAACCACATCATTAAGACCACTATGATGTTTAATGGGTTTTGTAGCCAGAAATAAACTCCGATGTGACCCTGTCAAATTCATAAATGTGAATGGTAATCTGCCTTCTGATGCACGAAAACAGACTGCACATTCAAAACAGCAGATGCGTAGTCAGTTTTAGTTTTAGGCTTTTATTGTTTGTAGGAGAGTTACGACTACTTTATTTCTGACCTCTTCGCCTCTTTGGCATTCTTTCTTCATCATCATCATTCCCTCTAAATGGCCCCATTTCCTTATATTCGTAATTTCTGTCTCCACCCTTGTCAACCTTTCAGCTTTAGTTCCTCTTTCCCAGTAAACCTCAGTGTTTAAATGTGACTGAGTAGACATAAGTAGCTTTCCATCACACACGCAAAAATTACCATATGTCATATGAAATGTCAAGTAACAATATTTATATTTTATTATTTATAATGAGCGATATATTATAGTGCTCTCTGTACCCCTGAATGCCACCAACTCATATCATTTAGTTATTAAATCTTTAGAGATATGCTACATTAGATAGGCTCAATGAAATGGGTAACTTTATGATTATACAAAACTATTTATTCAAGTGTACAATTGTTACAGGACATCTTTTGAGCTCAATCCAACATTAGTCACTTCTGAGATAAAAGCAGTTCTCTGAACAGGACGGTCGCACACACACACACACACACACACACACACGCTCACAAATCCAAACACAAGACACTACACAGGAATAGACGCATACTGCAGACGTCCCGCCGACCCCCCCGCCCGGCCCCCTCTAGAAACACGGTCAATGAGACTCCAGCTGAACTTAAAGGTTAAGAGAGGTTATAAAAATGTTTCCACTGTTTATCCAGAGGCTTTCTTGAAGATTATGCAGCGGTTGTTCACAATTTGACCTCGACACGGTGACCAGCTGTGAGGGGTCTGCTTTGTGCCTTCAGCCTGGAGTGGTCTCGCTCTGTGTTGAGAAATATTGTCACTCGTGGATGAGTTTGTGTCATGAACTCGAGAAGAATAGAAATAGTTTGGAACTTTGATTCTGCTGCCAATACTCCCGACATTTGGACGAACCCTTGACTTTTATATGTTTTTCTGCAGCAACCAATTCTCTCACTCCTTTAAAGATGTGAAATATAAACGTTTCATCCAAGAAACAAACTTTTCATCGACCAAAACGGCCCTATGATGTTTTTAAAAATATATTTAATATCTGATTTGCATCAGTTGAGGTTTGAACACTAAGATCATTTTTCTCTTGGAAACTATGGCAACAGAGTGATTGACGATGTCTCGTATTCATTGCGACATGTTTACATCAATGCAACCACCAAAGACTTAAAAGAAAAGAAAGCCAAACATAAAAAAGAAGAATTTAGATGTGAAAAAACGGACCACCAAATCAGATATCAGTTGCAAATATAAAAACATTCTGCTGTATTTGTCCATAGATGCAAAAGACATGCAACCATTTCTTCTTGGCCACCATGCATTATTTTGTCTTGATGATTGAGTATTTCCGGCTCCTTATAAAGTCTGAGAGAGAACAAACACTTCTCAGTGGTGCAGTTTACTTGGTGAGTTCCAGGGAAGACATTGGTTTGGAGTTGAAACTGCTATATGGTTTGTGTTAGGAGGAGCGTTGAGGTATTGGTTTAGACTCATGTGGTGGACTAGAGTATCGTCCTGAACTAAGTGGCCACATCAAAGCCTTTCTGGCCGACAGCTTTGACCAAAGCTGAAAAACAGAGGCTTGTTTTAGATTGATCTATCCTGACAGAAATATAACTTTTTATAAACTGATTTCTTTTCAAAATGTGTTTGCTCGTATTTGATTTCTGGGTTATAAATGGTATTAAACTCATATTGTACAGCCTTTTAGTCCAAACCCGCTGTGTTATTAAGCTTATTCTTGCAACCAGCAGGGTTTTATTTCCTGCCATGACAGGAACACTCACATCACTGTTTCTTGTTGGACAGAAATAGCCTAAACCACACACTGTTCTTCAGGCTGTATGCAATTTCAAAAACTGGTTGGGGAAAAGAAAAGAAAAACAAACCCAGATTTAAAATTAAACAAAAAGGATCACCTGAGTGAAAACCCTCAGTGTAAAATACCAGCGGTCTAGGCAACAGATAGCGTTAAATTTCTCGCCTGCGCCGCTCATCATCCCACCACCGCATAATCTGAGATCACTTTACGGGGCGCAGCAAGACCGCAGCGAGTTATGTCACACACATTTAAGAGGGAAGGGAGGAAATCAAGAGAAATTCCAAGTGATGTTAATGGTAATTTGATGGAGAGGAGAAAGAAAAAACCCCAAACCACCTGAGATATTGTGATTCCTTTAACACAGTTGACTTTGTAACATGATAAAGTGCCAAAGCTGCCAGTTTCTGTCAAAACATTTCACGGGCCTGACACGGCAGGAGTTATGTTTTCAGCCAAAGTGCTGTGACTGTCATCTTCATTTCACACATTTTTCAT